AAAAAAAAATTAAATTAACTGCAAGGCTAAAGAATCATGGGGAGAAAGCCATGAGTTCCGTGCTTTGCTTTCTCCTCCTCTGGAATTCCGCTGCTCTCCTTGGTATTGAAACCGCACTCCTCGTAAGTGAACTTGGTCCTGGCTGGGTTTCTTGTTGATCTTCTGGGGGAGGGGCCTGTTGTAGTGATTTTCAAGTGTCTTTGCCCCAGGCGGAGTCGCACCGCCCTTACCAGGGGCTGGGCTGAGTAATCCGCTCGGGTTTGCTTTCGGGAGCTTTTGTTCCCTGAGCGCTTTCCGTAGAGTCCGGAGGACGGGAAGGAAGATGGCGGCCTCCCAGTCTCCGGCCCGGAGGAGCCGAGAGCTAGGGGTCCCACTCCTCAGTGCGCCCTCAGGGAACAGCGCCCAATTACTCCCGTCTGCCTGGCCTCCGGCTGCGCTCCGAGCTCACCGAGCCTGCGACCGGTTCAAGGTAAGCCCGAGCTGTGAGCTCACTCCTCGGCTCCGTCTCTGTAGCCGGCTTCCCTGTTCTAATACCTGCGAGCTCTGCGACACTCAGACACCCCGATCCTTCTGTGACCCTGCGGGACCTGAGGCCACACTGGCCCCGCGTGGGCTTCACCCCAGTTAAGCCTCTGGAGCGATGTCCCTCAGCGGAACAGACTTTTAAAAGTCCCGATTTTGTGCTCCGTTGCTCCGCCGCTTGCCGGGAGCCGGCCCCTCCCCCCGGGGTCTATCTTCCTGTCCCTTTGGATTCACTTCTCCGCCAGTCCTACCTTTCAGCAAGTGGTTGATTTTCTGTTTCTAGAATTGCTGTTCTTCTTCTCTTCGATCTCCCGTTGGATTTGTAGGTGTTTGCAATCTTTAGATAAGCTATCTAGCTGATCTCCCGCAACCTGAAGTAGTCTCAGCTGCTACTTCTCCGCCATCTTGACTCCCTGTTCAAAGTTTTAATTGAGTTGTTTATCTTTTTATTACTGAGTTGTAACTTTTCTTCTACAGACCTGCCCTAGCTTACAATGGTGTTATGATCTGATAAGCCCATTTTAAACTGAAAATATCGTAAGTCAAAAAAACATTTATTACACCTAACCTACCAAACATCATAGCCTATCCTACCTTAAACATATTTGATAACAGAGTGCTGAATATCTCATGTAATTTATTGAATATTGTACTGAAGTGACAAACAGAATGGTTGAATGGGTACAGAATTGCTGTAACTGGAATGGTTGTTTATGTTCCTTATGTGTGGCTGACTGGGAACTACAGATTGTCCCCAGTGGCCAGTATCACAAGAGAGTATTGTACAGCATATTGCTAGCTCAGGAGATCAAAATTTAAAATTCAAAGTTTCTATTGAAAGCATATTCCTTTTGCCATCATGTAGTTAAAAAAAAAAAAATCACAAGGCTCTGTAGGCAATGTGAAAGATACGGTGTCATCTCAGTAATACTAACTTCATGAGCACTGGGTTTTTTGAATGGGGCAGGCAAATCTAAATCCACAGTTTATATCTTGGTGCAGATTCAACATGGACTTGGTGAAACAAACAAATAAAAATTATGTAAATGATATCAAGTATTAAAAATAATGTAGGTAGAGAATGGGACAGGGACTTCAAGTCTTTATTTGTAAAATAAAGGGGACTGGGAGCACCTGGGTGGCTCAGTGGGTTAAGCCTCTGCCTTTGGCTCAGGTCATGATCTCAGGGTCCTGGGATTGAGCCCCGATTCAGGCTCTCTGCTCAGTAGGGAGCCTGCATCCCCCCTCTGTCTCTGCCTGCCTCTCTGCCTACTTGTGATCTCTGTCTGTCAAATAAATAAAAAATCTAAAAAATTTAAAAAAATAAAAAATAAAAGGAACTGGGCTGGTTCTAACATCGTTCAAATTTAGTAAAGATAGGACTGCTGGTAAATCTAAATATCTCCACAATTTAGTGATTCATACTTTTGTCGTTAGTTAAATGAAATACTTGAGGAAATTCTATGTTTTTATTTATTCAAACTGAAAGGAGTAAAACTATTTTTGCTTCTTTTTTCCCTTTTTTCCAAGATTTTATTTATTCATTTGAGAGAGAGAGAGAGTGAGTAAGAGAGCACAAGCCAAGGGGGAAGCAGAGGGAGAGAGAGAAGTGGACTCCCCACTGAGCTGGGAGTCTGACCCGGGGCTCGATCCCAGGACCCTGGGATCATGACCTGAGCGGAAGGAAGACAGATGCTTAACTGACTGAGCCACCCAGGCACCCCAAATTCCTTTTCTAAATCAGTATTTCCCAACATCTGACATTCTGCTTGAGTGCAATAAATGTTTGTTGAATGACCAAATAATATATGCAAGTTGCCTTCAGTGAAAATGTATCTTCCTAAATCTTCAAGTAAAATCAGCACTTTAGGAATATGTTTCATGATTACTCTCTTGTATCAAGTGTGCAATGCGCATATTCCAGTTTGAGAAACATGGTAGGATAGTGGCTTCACAACTGGTTGTTTACCGGGATAACTTCCAGAAGTATTTTTATATGCAGATAATGATGCTGAATCATGGTGCCATATACAGCTCTTGGTCTAAGATAAGTACAGTTTAACTTTATTTCTTTATTCAATTTGCCATGGGCTAATGAATTCACTCTTTAGACAGTCAAACCCAAACTTTCTGTTGCCCAGGTGGTTAGGGCCTCTCTTCTTTCTGCAGATTGTGTCAGCTTGCTCTTTGTCCAGACTGTGAAATAAAAAGCTGAAGCAGTCATTGTCATCACTTAGGTAATAAGAAAGTATTTGGAAATAGCAAAATTACAAAGATGACTTAGCTGGAGAAGGAGCCAGAAGGGGAAAATAGAAAACCTTCTTATCTTCATGAGCATTCCTGGAATGCACAAGGATTTACTTCTCTATTCACGAAAAGCAGCAACAATAAGACAATGAGAGACAATGTGAGCAATTTCTATGTGCCAGGCACTGGGCTAAGCATCTTACTTAACCTCATATCTATTCTCTGAGCTAAGTATTTGATGATCTCTTTTATGTTGTTAAAGAAACTAATGAAAAAAAAAATAAATAATTGCATTTCTTACCACTCCCACCAATACCCCAGTGATCCTGGGAATATAATAAGGATTTTCCCTTATTATATTTTATATATATATGTATATATATATTTTTTTCCTTTTAAGTTATTCTACTTACACCGTAGAGTTAAGTAAACAAGCAATTGCAATATGTTTGCTTCACAATTACAATAAAGGTCAGACATAATTTTGGAGGACAGTAGAGAAAACTCAGAATATCGATATTAGTGAGGAAAAATTTCTCTATCTTTTTAGGACTTTGGTAAAATCTTAATTTTCTCTTCCAATAAAATGTATTTATTATTAGAGCCACGTAGGCATAAAAATAACTGAAATATCTATAGTATATTAGTATCGTCTTTTATACTAAGAGAGTATACTCCTCTCTCCCTGTATCTCTTTCACCCCCTCCTAAACTAGTCCCACCTACCAACTCTTTATTTAATTGTACTGGTAACTTAGATTTGAAGCCTTGGACTAATTCATTGCCCACTTTCTTTTATTCTTCCTCCTCCAACCTCACAGTTATTAAATCATTTATGTTACACTTAGCGATGACTTCCCTCCACCTCTTTCCTTTCTGTCTGCCTCCCTTCTCTCTTACAATCCCATTAGTTATTATATCAACCTCTTAATTGGTCTCTCTTTGGCTAAACAATTTTACACATAGAGATTATATTCATCTTCCTCAAATTCATCTTCAAAGACTTTGCTACCACACACATACATTTTTCATGACTCCTCTGTCATTTAAGGTCCTTATAAAGTTCGCTTCATCCTCACTGACCCCTTATATTCCAACCAAACTCTATTACTTAAACTCTGGTACAACCCCTCCCCCCGTGCTAACCACCTCAATATCCTTGCTTTTGCTCATCCAACTGCCCGAATGATGTCTTTTGTGCTTTTCCCTCTCTGAATCCTGCCCTGCTTCAACCCTCTCCCCAAAACAGCTCATTTCCTGCATCACCCAATTGTGGATCTAGCACCACATAGAAGATCTAAAGCTGATTGCTACAGCCCTTTCTTTCTGTAATTGCAGTCCTAAGGGCCCCTCCAGGGTGGCATTTGCAGTGTTTCCCCCACACAGCACACAATCCAGTGTCAGCCAGCACACTCCTCCCTAAAACAAGGGAACCAGGAAGACAGCTGCCTCACTGACTGTGTCTTCTCCCTGCAAGTACAAAACATAGATTACCCAGAGGACAGGGGAAAGGTCAGTAAACTCTATGCAAACAAGTACTCTTCTATCATCCCTTAAATCATGCCTCTGCTCCCACTAGCTCATAGCAACCTTGACAGACACCTGGGCATTTTCCTACCTTAAGTCTTTTGCAAATGAAAGCAGAAATTCACGTGGAAAGAAATGCAGAAGTTAAGAGCAATGAACTGTGTTTCTTGGAGAGATATCAGTGAGGACACTTGTTGGTGTGAGCCAAAGAGGATTTTGAGTCAAGTATATTGTTTTTAAGCAATGAACTTTGTTCCAAATCATGCTATGGTTAGTTACATAAGTTGGGCAGGAGAAACCAGAGAGCAGTTTCTCCAAAGATGGCTTGTAGAAATGGGTGCCCGGGTGGTTCAGTTGGTTGGGCGACTGCCTTTGGCTCTGGTCATGTACCTGGAGTCCTGGGATCAAGTCCCACACTGGGGTCCCTGCTTGGCAGGGAGTCTGCGTCTCCCTCTGACCCTCCCCCCTCTCGTGCTCTCTCTCTCTCAAATAAATAAATAATATCTTTAAAAAAAAAAAAAAGATAGTCTGTAGGAATGAAGGATACTCATAACATTTATACAAAACAAAAAGTGTAAGATCTAGATCTCCATTACTATGCATCCTATAAATCTGGAAATATAGATTCATACACATGCATTGGATACTGAATATTCAATAGCTCTTATTGAGGATGTGAATACAGGCAACTTCCTTAGGAAATGCTATAAAAGGACACAAGGTTAGAGTCAAAAATTTTTTAAAAATCAACAACACAAGAAGCTGTTCCTGGAACTGCAGATCGGAGGCTAATCTGGGAAACAGATTCTGAGGGCATTTAATAAACTTACATAAGCCCTGACGATTACATTGGCTCAGTCACGTAATAACAATTGTTTATTCTCTTGCAAATGTGAACCTTTTGAAGAGACCATTTCCTTTTTTTAAGGATTCCTTTGGGAAAAGAAGATCTGTCTTAAGCCAAAGAAAATACAATTCATTAGTCCTTGGTGAAAATGAAGTTCCGGAAACCAGCAGGTTGGTGTTCTTGACCCACCAGCACCCTGAGCACTTGTGTCTTGTAACAAAGAGTATGAAGACTTGGAATAACGATCCTTTTAACAAAGATTTACTGACTGTCTACCATGTGTCTCACGTGTGGCTGGAGAAAACAGCACTATACAAAGAGACACACCACCTGTCTTTCTAGAGCTCTAGGTCTAGCAAGAAAGGAAACTATTAAATAAACAAGGAACACTTTTTTTAAAATTAAATTGTGGTATTGCAAGGTAAAGTATACGGTGTATTATTGCCAGATCAGACCTGGTCCAGGAAGTTTCCTTATGGAAATGACATTTAAAATATCCCACTGGTGATGGGAAAAGAAAGTGTGGAAAAGGCACACATGCTCCCTAAAAGTGTCATGTCAGAAGGGACACATACTCCATTGGTTAAGGCTAGGCACACAGTCATGCGTTCAAGTAAATAAAGATGGGAAAAACAATCTAGCTATCTGCCTGAGAAAGCAAGAGTCAATAGTCTTTGTCACAGAGAGTATCAAAAATACCTCATTGTAGAGGCTGCTTTTAGGCAAAAGTCTTGAGCATTGGAAACTTGAGCAAGGTCTAAAGGGCCCACGGGGACCACCAAGCTGAATCCAAACAGGCTCATTAAGGGACCCACCTCGAAATAGCCATAGGCCCTAATGACCAATTACAAGCACCACAGTTCCTACAGTTACCAAAAAAGGGAAAATCCATAGTCCCCAAACTTTCTCACTCTGCCCCATAACCGTGGTCTTTCACCACCAACTCCTCGCAGGCTGTCTTTCCTTTGCTCTCCTTCGCAATGCTTCCTTGTAGTGTATTCAATAAAATTATTTCTCTTCGGTTCTGCCTTGGATGAATTCTCTCACCACCCATGCTGCCAGCCCCCACCCTCTGGGACACCCGACATTCGGTGGCCCCCCATCTGATCTGAGCGCGCCACATTCATGTGTTGCCGTTGCATTAAGTCCCATGTTTTAAATTACTAATGAATTTGATTTTTCTGATGCCACCAATGCGGCCCGCATATCTGAAATTATTTCAAATAGTTTTGGGGTTTTTTGGGTTTGGCATCTAAAAGAATCATAAGTGAATATTTGTTGAAGTCAGAGTCATTGATTTTTTTAAAATTTACATATAATGTATTATTTGGTTCAGGGATACAGGTCCGTGATTCATCAATCTTACACAATTCACAGCACTCACCATAGCACATACCCTCCCCGATGTCCATCACCCAGCCACCCCATCCGTCCCACCCCACCATCCAGTAACCTGTTGTTTCCTGAGATCAAGAGTCTCTTATGATTTATTGAAGACAAACTCTGATGGCATACATTTCTCTGTGCAAACAGCACATGTATATTTACTATTTTTCAATATTTTATTTGTAGTTGGCTCTTGAAATAGAAGTTTGGACGGAGACCAACAGATTTCAGATATCAAAATAAGGAAGAACACCCTGCAGGACTTGCAAAAACTAGCAGGCAGAAACCAGTCAGATAATTCTTAAAGGCTCCTTAGCCACAGGAGTTGGGACTTAGCACATAGAAGGTGATTTCTGTAGGGCACTTTGGGAAAAGTCTTTTAAAAGGGCTCCCCTGCAAAGAAAGACTAGGAGAAGTTTCCTCCTAACCCCAAGTCATGGGAGAGGGGGTGTAAGGAGACCCATTGATGAGCTTAATATGTGTCTCCTGCATTTGAGGGACCAAGCGAACAATAATGTGTCATCCCTGGAAATTCGCGAAGTCTCAAGACGCTGAAGGGAGAGGTGAGGTTTGAGACATATGAGAACCACACGCCTATCGGTTGTGCTTGCTCAGCTGTGATTTGTGACTGCTCTCAAGTCTCTCGGCTCCCTTGAAAGTGGGATGAGGCGGTGGGGGGACTGTCCCATGTGCATCTGGAATCTCCGGGCTCTGTTGTCTTAAGGTCTCAAGCAAGACTTTGATTTTAGCGTTCTGATAGATATCATTTTGGTCTTCCTAGTAACATATAAACAGGATTCTGAAAAGTCCAAAAGGAACCGTTTCAGCTTTTTTGAGTATTTTTATACAAGGTTAAAATAAGATAAATTAAAAGCCATTGGCAAACTATAAAATACCATAAAATGGTAAGATGTTAGTATTATTTGCTGTTTATTTATCACAAATATTTCTTACACTAAAAAAGATCCCTTATCAAAATATAATTTAGGGTTATGTCACCATCTTTAAAGCAGGTTTGGTTTGTTTGGGTCCCTTCTGTACTTAGTATCTAGTGAAGACTTCATGGGTTTAAACTTGGCAAGGAAAGTAAAAAGACGGAAAAAAAGAAAGCTAACTTAAAACATTTTCCATAATTCCCCTTCACTTCCCATCCTCCCAATTTTTTGTTTCAATGGAAAAACACTAGGGAAAATATTTCAAGGAGTTATTTTAAAAGACAAAGAGGAAGTTAAATGGAGTGAAACCTCTCTCTCAAAATATAGTAAATAGTACAATAGACATAATTCTCATCCCAAAACTGAACTATTAATTGTAAAAAGCAAAAGCTAACACCTCTTATCATAGGAAAATAACAAAACTTAGTCTATGAATGGGAAAATATAGCAAACTTTAAGGAAGAAAAAATTTACTTTGAGAGAGGCAAAAGATGAGATACGATTAAAATTAGATATTCTGAGGGGAAAGGGAAAAAGCAAGCAGATTTTACAGTGCAGGGGATTTCTTTTTACCAGCAAGAAAGAAAAATAACGTTCCATCCATTTTTTACAGGTTAGTGGTAAATTCTTATATAGGAAAAGAGAAAGTTGAGATGCCTGAGTGGCTCAGTCGTTAAACGTCTGCCTTCAGTTCAGGTCATGACCCCAGGGTCTGTGGATCGAGGCTCACATCAGGCTGTAAGCCTGCTTTTCATTCTCCCACTCCCCCTGCTTGTATTCTCTCTCTCTCTCTCTCTGTGAGTGTCAAATAAATAAAATCTTAAAAAAAGAAAAAGAAAAACAACTTAAATATAACTAAATCCACATTGTCCACAGTGAGCATAAAATAGGATGTCTGTCTTTGGAACTGTTAGGAGAATGCTTAATTGTTTTTGCACATCCGTTGTATGCATTCATATTTCCATCCAACGCAGCATCTGTTTCCAGCTGAGTCCCATGCTGGAAGGATGAAAAAAATTGGGGCTCATGGAAATTAACAACTCAGTCGAGTTCATGTTGTTATGTATAAGGCAAAGTTAGGATTCAAACCCAAAACAAGTCTGAATCCAAAATCACGTCTCTTGTAACAGTACCTATTTAACTGTCTTTGTAAGAAATAATTAAGAACCAAGGTGCTGGAACAGAAGGATTTTGTGCTGTACAGAATATCATAACACAAAACTGTATGGAATGAGGACGGTGTGGGGTACCCTTCCTTTTGGACTCTCTAGAAAGCAGATACCAAGATGAGTTAGGAATGCATATAGTTGAGTGGGAAGTATAACACCTTAAAAGAAAAAAGGAGAAAGTAGGATTGGACAGAGGGAGCTGTCAGACCACAACACAGACCTGACAAAAACTCCATTACCCGCCCCCCTCCCCAGGAACTGTCAGACCAAAGCCAAGCCCTGGAAGCACCACTTTGTGCAATTAGCTCAGTCACGGCTGAGGAAGACTGAGAAGAACCTGACCTCTGCTCAGAAGCTGAGGCAGATCTTAAGAAAGCCAGCAGCTGGAGACTGTCAGCTCCCACCCTCCTCTCCTCATGGC